CTTAGGTTTTTTTTTTGTTTTGTTTTGTTTTTGTAAAATGGAAATAGTAATGTTAATGTTCCTCAGAGTGTTGTTGGGAAGGTTAATGACTTAATACTGTGCTTATAAAGCCCTTAAAATGGTATCTGGTACATAGTAAACACCATTTCTTTGCTGCTATTAATTTATCATTGCTTATTGGTTTTAGACATTTTGAAATGAGTTTATATACAGAGGACCTGTGTTATCCTTGTCAGTTTAAGTGGTAGTCCCTGTAATATGGACTTTGTGATTGAGTAAACAGCATCTCTGACGTTATTTCTTTTTTTATATATGTTTTTTTAGTTGTGGGTGGACACAATGCCTCAAGCATGCTAGGCAAGTGCTCTACCACTGAGCTATAACCCCAGCCCCAGTTTTTTTTTTTTTTTTTTTTTAATTTTTAAATGGTACTGGGGTTCAATGCAGAGACTCCCACATGGTAGACAAGTACTCTGCTACATCCCAGACCTTTTTATTTTATTTTGAGAGAAGATATTGTTAAATCCCCAGAGTTAGCCTTGAACTTGTGATCCTCATCTTCCTTGAATACCGGGAATTACATGCATGTGCCACCACACCTGGCCTGGCTTTCCTTTTTTGTTTTGTTCTTTTGGTATGGTGTCTTATTTTGTTGTTCTGGGTAACTTTGAACTCCTGGGCTTAAACAATCTTCGCAGGTCAATTTCCTGAGTAGCTGGGACTATAGGTGTGTGCCACTGTGCCTGGCTTTGTGGGCCTTCTGTTTTTTGTGGTACCAGGGGTTAAATTGAGCCCAGATCCTTCCTCATGCTATGCAAGTGCTCTGCTACTGAGCTGCTATATCCTGATCCCTTTTTTCTTCTTTCTTTTTTTGTGGCACTAGGGATTGAACCTAGGTTCTAATGCATGTATTCTACCACTGTAGAATACTGGCTCTTTTTTGGTTTTGTTGTTTTTAATTTTGAGACAGAGTCTTACTAAGTAGTTGCCTAGATTGGCCTTGAACTTGAAATCCTGCCTCAGCCTTCTGACTTGCTGGGTTTATATGCTTGGTCCACACCATATGGACACCAGTGTCTTCTGTACTAGGGATTGAACCTAGAGCCTTATGCATGCTAGGAAAGTGCTCTACCATTGAGTTACACCTCCAGTCTTGTAAATTTTATTTTGAAACAAGGTCTCACTAAGTTGCCCAGGCTGAACTTGAAGTTGCAATCCTCCTCAGTCTCCTGAGTAGCTAGGATTACAGGCATGAGCCATCACACCTGGCTCCCAGTTGTGTTTTTTGCATGCCTTAAAGTGAAGTGTCCTCATTATTTGTTTATATAAGCTTTTATAGAAAGTCAGGTGCAGTTAACCAGTGTTCATTCTAGACTGAGACCTTTGGAAAACACAGTGTTATTGAATCTTCCAAAGAATCCTTGAAAGTTAGATGTAGTGCACACCTATAATTTCAGTTGCTCCTGAGGCTGAGGCATGAGGATTGCAAGTTCAAGACCAACTTCAGCAATTTTAATGAGGTCTCAATTAAGGAGACCTTGTTTCAAAATAAAGCATTAAAAAAAAAAAAAAAGGAGTGGGGGTGTGGCTCAGTGTTTAAGGGACCTGGGTTCAATCCCTGGTACAAAAAAGAAAGAAGGGGGAAAAAAAAAAGAAAGAGTTTAAGTAACTCAGTGGTAGATCACTCCTGGATACATATACAGTCTCCAACATTGGCAAAGAATACACAAACACCCGAAGAAGCTAAAAATGTATCAGCAGTTCTTTTTTTTTTTTTTTAATATTTAATTTTTAGGTGTAGTTGGACACAATGCCTTTATTTTATTTACTTGTTTTAATGTGCTGAGGATGGAACCCAGGGCCTCACACGTGCTAGGAGAGTGCTCTACTGGTGGTGAGCTACAACCCCAGCCCAGTAGTTCTTATCTGTGTTAAAATGTATCACATCTTTAATTTGGATGACGGGAGGTCAATACCAGTTTTAAAATTTGACCGAATATATTTGAGTAACCTGGTGCTTCCTGCAGTGCAAGAACCTGAGATATGCTGGTTTGAATTTTTGCTGGATTATTTTTAGAATCTCTTGCTCTTGTCTGTTTCTATTCTAAGAATTCTCCTGGAACCTGTTCCAGAGTAGTAGAGCTCTTCAGGGTGGGAAATGATACAAGGGATGGAACACAAGTGTAAAACTGAATTAGTAAGTTCTGGCAACTGGGTCCTGCACAGAAACAATTGTTTTTCTTTTTTGGTGATTCTGAAGTTGGATATGCCTCACTCATAATTTATAAGCAAGCATTCTATCACTAAACTATATCCCCAGCCCAAGAAGCAATTATGTTTACTATACATAATTCAGTTTCCAGTAGATATAACATGTTTTCCCCATAGTCAGTATAGTATATTAGTTGAAGGTGTTTTATTTTTATTTTTTTGTTTGTTTTTGGAAGCAGGAATTGAACCTAGGGACAGTTTAACCCTGAGCTACATCCCAGCCATACCACCACCCATTTTAAAATTTTGGGACAGTCTTCCCAATTTTGTCACAGTCTTTCAAGTTACTGGGATTAAAGGCATGTGCCACCATGCTCAGCTTTCCAGCTCTTTTTTTTATTTTGAGACACAGTCTCACTGAAGTTGCCGAGGCTGGCCTCCAACTGGCCACCCCATGCCTGGCCATCTTTATTTATTTATTTTTTTAAATATATTTTTAGTTGTAGATGGACACAATACCTTTTTTTCTTGATTTTTAATGTGGTCCTGAGGATTGAACCCAGTTCCTCACATGTGCTAGGAAAGCACTCTACAACTGAGCTATAACTCTAGCCCCTGGCCAACTTTATGTATCTTCTGAAGTCTGTTTTTCCAGAGGATTTTAGTCATATTCCACCCTCAGCTCCATGTTCTGCAAAATCTCAATTCTGTATCAGGAAGTTTTTTTTTTTTGAGATGGGGTGTCACTATGTCACTGTTGCCCAGGCTGTTCAGGGACTCCTGTTCTGAAGTGATCCTCCTGCCCTAGCCTCTTAAGTAAGTGGGACAACACTTCTTGTGTCTGGAAGATTATTTAAAAAAAAAAAAAAAAATTTTTTTTTGGGGGGGGATGGGTACTGGATTAGAACCAAGGGCTTCATTTTTTTTTTTTTAAGTGCTGGGGATCGAACCCAGGGCCTTGTGCATATAAAGAAAGCACTCTACCAACTGAGCTATATTCTCAGCCCCTTCATGCATATTAAGTAAGTGCTCTGATATTGAGTTGTATCCCCAGCCCTGGAAATTGTTTTGTTGGATATTTTTTGCATTAAGACTGTCTTTCTTTCTTTCTTTACTAGGTATAGAACCCAGGGGTACTTTATAACTGAGCTATATCCCCAGCTCTTGTTTTGTTTTTGAGATAGGGTCTCACTAAAGGTCTTGCTAAACTGTTGAGGTTAGCCTCAAAATTGTGATCCTCCTGCCTCAGACTCCCTGGTTGCTGGAATTACAGGTGTGTGCTGCTACGCCAGGCTAAGACTGACTGACATTTCATCCTTAGCATGTTGATCCATGATTGTCAGAAAACAAGTTAGTCTGAATTTGTTCATTTGAGTATCCTTGAAAGCTAGGTCTAGGGCCATTAATTCTATTGTTTTCCAAGAGATGTATCTGCCTTTTTTAAGTTGAAGGTTTTTCATTGAAATTATTTATGAATATGTAATGTAGACCAGTAATTAATAAAGGAAAAACTGTAGTTTCCAAATAATACTTAAACATAAAATGGGCAACGTACTTATATTTCACATGGAATTTGGTTGTTATTCGTAACCTAATTATATTCATTATGAAACATTTTACACTAAATGGATATTTGGAATAGAGATAGTTTTAATGTCCTCAGTAAGTTAGTAAAGTTTTAATATTTTAAAATATATTGAAGTTTATGGTTTTCCTTCCTGACAAGTGAATATTAAGGTGAATTACCTTGCCGGCCTTGGTGGTATATGCCTATAATCCCAGCTCCTCACGAGACTGAAGGAGAAAAAATAGGAGTTCAAAGCCAGTCTTACTCAGCAAAAGTGAGGCACTAAACAACTCGGTGAGACCCTGTCTCTAAATAAAATATGAAATACAGCTGGGGATGTGGCTCAGTGTCTGAGTGCCCCTAAGTTCAATCCCTGGTTACCCCCCCCCCAAAAAAAAAAAAGGTGTATTGCACCAATATTATGTTTGAATGTAATAGAAATATTTTTTGTAAATCAAAATTCATTTTAGTGTAAGTATACTTCTTTTGTACGTGCAGATTTTTATCAGCAGATGGCACTCCTGTAAGGAGAAATTCACATTTTGTTATATTTAGTGTACTTAGGTTATTTTCATAAATGGAACACTGATGAATAAATAGTACAAAGTGTAAGTGGGGAAAGTAATCATTTCAATGAACACGATTGTTTGGAATCTATAAGCCAACAATTGGAATGTCATAGTTCAAATCTGTATCTCACCCATGTTAGGCAAGCAACTGTCACTGATATCCCTACTCTTGTCTTGTTTCTTGAGATCACATTTTGAATTTTGTTTTTTGCTGAGTAAAGTCTAGTAGTTACTACAAGTAGTAGTAGCTATATATACTGGTAAAATGGTTGCTGGTTAAAATTAGTTGTCCTTGAGATTTTTATTTAGCATTGCTAAGATTCTTGAACAGTTCTTGTCACACTGTCCTCCAAAATGCTACAAGCAAAATCTTTGATATCAAAGTGCTGTTTCTTGGGGCTGGGGTTGTGGCTCAGCGGTAGAGCCCTCACCTAGCATGTGTGAGGCCCTGGGTTCGATCCTCAGTACCACATAAAAATAAATACATAAAATAAAGATATTGTGTCCAATTACAACTAAAAAGTAAATATTTTTAAAAAGTGCTGTTTCTTGAAAATTTGTATTCCAGAGAACTTTTATTTTATGTATCTTCTTTTCCTTTGACTTATGTTTGCCTTTTACCATGATTTGCATAATTTCCTACTTTGTTGCAGATTTTCTATTTTGTACATACGCTATTTTGTATATACTGTACATGATGACTTCAGTGAGCAATGACCGTTGCCGAGGTGCTCGGGAAAAAACACAGATTTCAACAACACAGGCGACACAACCACAGAAACAAGTGGTACAGGTAAGTGTTTGTGGAACTTTTGTTTCTTTTAGAATTAAGGGAAAACACGATTTAATGTTTTCCTTTGTAGGAAATCTCACTATTTTGGACCTTGTGTTTAAAAAGCAGATAGTAAATAATAGGAAAAAGTAATATTGTTGATTCATGTACAATTAGATACTGTTCCATTAGAACTAATTAATCCTGTATTCCAGCTACCAGTTACTGAGTCAGTTTCTTGGCTTTCTTTTTCTTCATTCCTTTTTTTTTTTTTTGATGATGAGGCTCGGGATGAAACTCAAGGTCTCTTCTATGCTAGGCAAGTACTCCCACACTCCAGTCCTTAATTTTAAATGAAGTGAGATAATTCAAGTAAAGTGAAAGCATAGTACCTGGTACAGTTAACACTGTATACTTTATTGACTAGATTGGCAAGCCTCTTTTCAGAGGCATTATGTAAGTGGGTAAATAAACCTAATCTAGTCCATTATAACTTCAGATTGATGATTTGACTGTACCTTGATAGTTACTTATAAGTGTTTTTCTTTTTGTTTTGTATTTGTTTTTCTTTTGTGGTATTACAGGTGGAACTCAGAGGTGTTCTACCATTGTGCTACTTGCCTGGCTCTTTATTTTGAGATAGGGTCTCACTGAATTTCCAAGCCTTAAATTTGCTGCTTTAGCCTCCCAAGTTGCTGGGATTATAGGCCTTTTTACCACCACACATAGCTCTGATGTTTATTCACAAGAAAGACTCTCCATTGTTGGGAAACTTTGAGGGCTAGATCCTCTTTTTATAGTTCTTAAGAAAAATTTGTTTCATGAATGGTCTCTTATCAAAGAAGAAATAGAAGTTAAGAGTAATCATGGGTGTAACTCTGCTAATAAATAAAATGATTGTTTTTATTTAAAAAAAATTTGTACTTAGCAAATCATTAAAAATGAAAAGTAAGATTTTGAAGGAGAGCCCGATGTAATGTAGGGATTGTAAACTGTATAGCCTTTCTTTCCTCCCAAGCAAAGTCTTTGGGCTGATTTACAAAGAATTAGTCTCCAAATTGGAGGAGGAGGGGAATATTCCTTTCCTCACAAAGGGTTTTCTATTTGTTATTTATTTACACACACACACACAGACACCCCCCACCCATGTTGGTAATTAAGCAAGCATTTTTCCACCAATCTACATCCCTGGCCATTGATTGATTGATTTGTTCTGGAATGCAGGAAACCCTGGGTTCAGTCCCTAGCACCACACACAAACACATACACACAAACATTCTCTCTCTCTTAGACACACACACAGTTTCTGTCCCTCTTACACATACAGACACACACACAAAGGAAAGAATGAAAAGTTGTTCATCTTATGCGGTGGAAAATATTTTCTAAGGAAGTAACCTTAAATTGGAAACAAAGTACCTTTTGTAGTTGTTGTTGTGGTACCAGGGATTGAAACTAGGGGCACTTTATCACTGAACTACATCCCCAGCCCTTTTTTTTTGAGACAGGCTTTGTTTAAATTACTTATAAGGGCCTCGCTAAGTTGCTGAGGCTGGCTTCGATCCTCCTGACTTTTTTCTATAAGATGTTAGTTAGTTACCCACTGTGTGTGTGTGTGTGTTCCTGAGGATTGAACCAGGTCTTCGTGTTTGCTAGGCAAGCTCTCAACTACTGAGTTACATCCTCAGCCCTTATATTCCCAAATGTCTAGAGGTAGGGGTGTTCTGAGATGATCTATCCAAGTTGCATGCTAAAAGAAGAGCTCTTTTGATTCCATATAAACCTGAATTTGGATCTTGGTCTACCCATGTTACTAATTAGATAAGTTTCTTAAGTCTTTTTTTTTTTTGCTGGGTATTGAATCCAAGGCCGCTTTATAACTGAACTATATTCCCAGCCCTTTATATTCTACCACATTTAGTTTGTCCCTTTATTCATCATTTCCACAGCCCTATTTTTTTTGTGTGTGTGTGTGGTGCTGGAGTTTAACTCAGGTGCTGGAGCTGTGCCAGGCAAGCTCTCTTCTACTGAGCTATACCCTTAGTACAGCTGAACTTTTTGAGAGGAGAGATACTTCTTTACTCCTAAATACATTAATATGTTTTTGTAAAAAGTGACTTCTTTTGCATAAAACAGTAAAATTATCCAAAAAGAAGAAACTTAAGTCATTATTAATTTGGCATCCATTTTATTTATATTTGTCCTAAATTGTCCCAATAAGGTTTTTTAGTTAAGTCCGTGATCATTTATTGTATTTAGGTGTCTCTTCTCTTTAATCTCTCTCTCTGTTTCTGTCACTCTTTCTCTTGGCCCTGGGAATTGAACCCAGGACCTTGTGCATGCTAAGCATATGCCACTGAGTTACATCACCAGACACTTCCTGTGGAACTGTTCCTTAGTTTCATGACATTGACATGTTTGAAGAAAATAAGCCAGTTTCTTCATACTATGTTTTCCAGCTTGGATTTGTCTATTCTTTACTCATGATTAGAATTGGCTTATATATTTTTGGTATGAATAATGTATAAGTGATCTGATCTTTCTTTTTTAAAATTTTTTGTAATTGTACATGGTCAGAATGCCTTTATTTTATTTGTTTATTTTTATGTGGTGCTAAGGATTGAACCCGATGCCTCATAGACCTCTTGATATGCTAGGCAAGCCCTCTGCCACTGAGCTACAGCCCCAGCCCAAGTGATAGGATCTTAATCCATCATATCATGATGTAATAGAATATGTTTGTCTCATTCTAGTGATTATTATTTTTATCGCTTGTTTAAAAGTGGTGTTCTTCTATTATCTTGGAGATGCAAACTAGTTTTTTAAAATATAAAATGGCATATGATATTTACTTTTCAGGATGATTGAAAGGAATTGAAAGTTGTGGAAGGTTGTGGATGATAATTAATAATCTGTGTTTATTGTATATATCATATAAATTATGAAGTAATTATAATAATACTTAAAAATTATGTTATAAAATGTCATGGAAAATGAATAGTTTCTGTTTATCTGAGAAAAGATGTAAAATGTATTAATGAAAAAAGGCTATTAGACTATGTTAATAACATTTATTTTTGGTAGGTACAAGGATGATTTAAAAAATAACCTTACTTCATTATGTTTCCAAATTTTCTGGGTGACAGGTTCTATGAAAAACATTTGGCTCATTAGAAAAGCTATCAGCACATTTTTTTTTTACTGTGAAAGCAGCTTAGCTCTTTATAGGTCATATGCATGGGTAAAAGATCCTGAGGAAGACAGTGATGATGCTTTTCTTAGCCATATTTTCTTTTATTTTGAAAATTGTCTTGTTGGATGTCACTAATGGGGAGGGTGCACTATTCTGTTTAACATAGAATTACCAGTTGACCCTGATTTTTCCTCTTTTTTCCCCAAGCTGTACAGACCTCTTGACACTTCTAGAGCTCAGCCTGGTAACTTCCCTATTATACTCTTAATTTATGTTTGGTGGTTTATTTATCAAATATTTATTGAAGTGTTTATTGAATAAAGTAATTTTCTTCTTGACTAAGGCATGTAGAGTATTTTATAAAGGAAGACAAATTTAATATTCTGATTAAAATTTTACATTTTATTAATATGATAGTGCTAATGTTGCAGTACTGTGCTTGTTAATAGCTGTTAAGTATATCAGCTGTGCTTTCAGAAGTTGTCTAGTCTGTACCCTGTAAGGAATAAAACAGATGATATCACTGAAGAAAAATACAAAAAACATCTGAATCATAATTTACTTAAGCTGAAAAAGCTAAGTCTTGGATTGGTATTTACATATGGCGATGAGTAACGACTTAATTAGACATGTATAGGTAGCTGGGCATGATGGCACTTGCTTGTAATCCCAGCTACTTGGGAATCTGAGAAAGGAAGATCAAAATTTTGAGGCCAGCCTTGGCAAATGAGCAAAACTGTGTCTCAAAAGGAAAAATAAAAAGGGGTGGGGATGTAGCTTAGTGGCTGTGCACACTTGGGTTCCATCCCCAGTATTACTCCTGTAAAACAATTTGTGGGTGATACAGTATCAAAATGAAAGCATGTAGTGGTTTAGGGTGTAGCTCAGATGTAGTGCTCATGTTTAGTATGCATGAGGTCATTAGTAACTGTTCTGCTTAAAACCTGTGCCAGGTTCTGTAAATTCATGTTCTTTTTTCTTAATATTTTATAGATGTGTTAACAGAATCAGGGAAGATTTGTTTTTATAAATTGTGTATATTTACAAAAATATGGACAATTAAGTTTAAATATTGCTGCCTTGGGTTGGGGGTATAATTCCATGGTAGAGTCCTTGTCTGGCATGTATAAGTCCCTGGGTTATCATAGCATTGCAAAACAAATGATATATTATTGTTTATAAAGCCATCATTTGTTGCTGTTCTTGCCTGTTTTCACACCCTTTTTCAGAAAGATTTCATCCAGGTTTTCTGAGCTTGGTATTGTACTCCGATATTTCTATATGCGGTATCTTCTGTCTGAAACATCTTGATCAAATCAGACTCATTCTTGTAATGAACTCACCATGCAGTGAATGACTGATTGTCCACATGATTTCATTTTCTTAGGATTTTTTTCAAAAAATTTTTTAGTTAAACATGGACACAATATCTTTATTTTATTTATTTATTTATTGTTCATGTGGTGCTGATAATTGAACCCAGTGCCTCACATGTGTGAGGCAAGCACTCTGCCACTGAGCCACAACCCCAGCCCCTAGGATTTTTTTCTTTTATCTCTTTATTTTAGCTCCTACTTAACTCTTGTCCACCCCCTTCCCCCCTGTTTTTGGGTTCCTTTAGGGCTGCTTTTCCCATCTGTGGAAGTTGACACCACCTTCAGCATTTTATAATGTAAATGATTAAACATAAAGAAAAGTTATGCTTTAAGGATTCATATACATCACATTGCCTTTCTTCAATATTTGCTTTGCTTAACTGTCATTGTCTTTATTATTTTTTTTTTTTTTTTGGATTTTGATGCATTTCAAAGTAAGACTTCAAGGTAAT